CACCCTAAAAGACATTACAGACATTTAGGTTACTATTAAAACCACCTTGGCATGAATTGGAGATTTTTTTGAAGTTCCAAGTGCATTCCCATTTTGTGTTGACATACTCGCCAAGGGAAGTAAAAATGAGTATACCAGTCATTGGCAAACATGTACGTATTTCAAAGCATCTCAAAATTATGAGGACGGTTTGGTTCTCTCCATGTTTTTGGATGTAATATCATGCTTTTAAACATGTGGTTATCAAAGTATCACCATAAGATACATCGTGCATTTCAACTTCACATCAAGTCAATAGGCAATTTTATAGAAGTTTTGAAACCCTAGATATAAATACATTGATCTCAAACAAAATATGGATAAAACAAATCAAGTCCTCCCATTTATATATAAAAAAAAAATCATGAGAATGAATTGGCTTTTCATGAGCAATCAAATTTTTGGCAACTCTGCTTATGATTTGGTGGCCATGCAAAATGTGAAAGGAGATAGGGCCAGGTCACGAAGCTGAGGGGCGGCAATAGCAAGTGCGTAAAAAAGCATTTAGAAAAGAACATCCCAGAGAAAGTGGGCATTGGAGGTGATGAAGTCATAAGAGTAAGAGACGAGAAAGAGAAACGAGTGCAAGGCATGCATGAATTAGAGGTGGGCAAAGGAAATAATAAGACACCGATTGGTAGAGAGGATAGTTCTCAAGGTGGGGATCGTCCACTAGGAATGGCGAGAGGGATAGTTTTAGATTTTATAAGGTTTGTAGATTTTATTTTTCTTTCCTTTTTATGGTAAACAAGCCATAAGGTCCGAGCAAGGCTACAACATCACCACAATCCCACTATAATTGAAACAGTTGATAGGAACATTACTCAAGAAGCCCCAAAACAGAACACTGCAAATTCAACATTCAATCCAATATCATAACTAATGAAATCAACCACTCAGACATAACCATATGTGAGCACACTTAGACTAGGGTAGCATAAAAATAGAGAACAGGAGTCCTTCTTGATCATAGACATGTTCCAAATATACAACAACAACAACAAAGCCTTAATCCCACTACGTGGGGTCAGCTACATGAATCTTTTTTCTCCATTGCTTCCTAATTAATGTCATATTTTCATTTAGTTCTAGTAAATTAAGATCATTTTTAATACAATAAGTCTAAGTCTTCTTAGGTCTACCTCTGCCTTTCTTAACACAAGTCGAATTTAAAACATCTACTCTCCTAATCGGATCATCTAATGGTCGACGT